GATTCGTAAATTCAACATTAGTTTTTGAAAAAAATTTATAGAAAACTTCTGATGATATTTATGAAAATGTACTTCTCCCCCATACATTAGTCCCGTCTCCCATGCAAAATAAGCAACTTTGATTGCTAATATCTCTGGTTTCGTACGGCGAAAATTCTTCATATTTTGCAAATTTGTCAAGAATGATAATAAGAACATATGGTAAAATTTTCAAGAAAATTTATAGAAAACGGTTTTACCGATGTGATACCTTAATAAAGAATACAGTTTTTTAATTTTGTTCTTACAAAATTAAAAATGTTATTTTTGAAATCCTCATTTTATTGTGATTTCAACAGTATGTTGTTTAACTATAATACATTAAATTTTAAATAATTCACAAATTCAGTGATTAATGAAATGTTTGTATGTACACATATCTTTTTAGAATTTATTATAAACTTTTAATTTAACTTAATTATTAATGTATGGTTGTATTTTTAATTATGATTAATTAATTGATATACATAATAAAAAATAAGTCATTCACTGTAATTAAAATTTTTATTAATTAAATAATAGTGCATCTTGAGTTTACACTTTTGATGTTATTATTACACTTATTACGAAGTATTACGACTATTACAAGATAATTGTGCACTAATACGCGAGTAAATACCCCCACAATAAAACATATAATTTGTTTAACATACAATATACACGAATCTTTTTCTTTATTCACTTTCTGAACTAGAATCAACTGAAACATTAATATCAATTGCAGGGATTCTTGTTTTACAAAACTATTACATATCATTAGAATCGTGAGAATTTGCAGATTCCGAATATATTGTTCAAAATTAATTATCTGTAAAACTAAAATGTTTTTAATTTTTTATTGCACTGTAACGTGCAGTTTATTAGGACCCTCATAAACTTGGGATTTGTGAACGTACGGACGACTGGGGATTAGAAGTGACAATTTAAACCATATGTTTGAACCAAGCCTAAAATTAACATAATTTTAAAAAAAGGGCGGTCCTTATTTCAAAACTCCGCCAACTCTTTCACTTTTATGATGTTCTACGCGAAAATGACTAAAACTCGTCGTTTTCCGAGGGCAAACTCTCGATGGACAGAGTACACACACATACAAACATCCGGCCAATTGATCAGGATCTCATATAACGTGTTTCTATATAAAGGAAAATTTGTTTTCACCATTTTTAAACATTTTATAAACGAAAGGACTACAAAGTTTCCTCCACGAGAAAGCAAAAAAATTCCGCCATATTGGATCCGCCATTTTGAATTTTAAAAAACTAACATCGGATTAGGAATGAGCGACCACGATAACCGCCGAGTAACAAGTTTCAACAAAATTTGTCCGGGTGGGTTTCCCGGAGGCACGAAAGTGTTAAGTTAGAAACAAATTAGGGACTTCTAACTGATAAAATTCGGCTTCTGAATGTATATCAAGAAATTTTTTTTTGCTTCCTCGTGGAGGAAGTTTTGTAGTCCTTTCGTTTATAAAATTTTTAAAAATTGTGTAAACAAATTTTCCTCTATATAGAAACATGTTATATGAGATCCTGATCAATTGTCCGGATGTTTGTATGTGTGTGTAGATCGTTTTTTTGAACACGTTATATTTAACAGGTTGCTTAGAACTTAAAAATTCATGTATAATTCTTCGTTTCAAGTCATAAGGATTCTAAAAATAGCATTAAAAAAAATTCTGTCTCTCTGTCTGCACAATATTTTGTTCGCCAATCACGAATAAACGGCTTGACCGATTTAAGTAAAACTTGGCAGTCTTTTAAGTATTAGACTAACTTAAAGTCTTAGCCATACCCCATTAAAAAATATTAACTTGAACAGAAGTTATGGCACTTTTTGTAAAAATCGAAATTTTAAAATTTTTTTCGCTTATTTTTACTAGACTTTTTTTTAGCAGTTTTTTGAGGTTAATTAATCGCATATTTACCTTAAAATTGAGAAAATAACTTAAAGATTTAAAATTGTGAAGAAAAATTCCAAAAATCAAATTTTTTAAATTTAATTTCTGTTAGGTATATTTTACTAAACCTTTTTTAGCTATGTTTTTGAGTCCAATTAATCAAATTATAACTTTAGAATTAAAAACATGACAAATATAAAGAAATGAAAAAATGTTTTTTTAGTAACAACCTTTTTATAATTATTGTTTTCGGGTTATAGATTTTTATTTTAATAATATAGTTTTAATAAGATTAAAAGATTTTAAGTTGTAAAAAAAGTATAAGAAATTAAAATTTGAAAATAATTATTTAAATAAAATTTTATAATGCTCTTTCGATTTTGTCTCAACTGATTATTTGCTAACTTCATTCCCGCAATTGACTTTCATATTTTGTCAACACGTTTGACAGATGATTATGGAAAGAAGCAAGGAAATCGATACAGATAAAAACAATTAATTATAATCGATAATAATTATTAATATATTATAATAATAAAATAATCAATTAATATTAAATGAAATATTTTAAGCCATCGACTAAAGGAAGATTATTTTTCAGGTATTTAAAATAAATAATTAAAAAAAATTTTGTCATTCATTTTGATAATATTTCTTTTTGTCATTTTATAATTTTTTTAACAAGCATTCTAATTATCTAATTTAACATCTATGTTAATTTTTTTAAATGTATTTTTGAAGATAATTAGAATGCTTAGTTTAAAAAGAAATTAATTTTTAAATAATATTTTTTAATTTTGTAATAATTTTTTATAATTATATTTCATTCTTTAAATATGTTTTTAAGATTGTGTATTTGCGAAATTTAAAGAAAATTTAGTACAGGTTTAAATAAAAAGGGTTTAATAGTAACCTATATTTTTTTGGGAATTTATAAAATTTAAAAAAAAATTTTAATTTTTGTGGTAATTTTTGATGATTAAATTTCATTTTTTAAATTAATTAAAAAAAAATTTTTAAATGATAATCTGTATTGTTTTATGAAATTGTATATTTTAGAAAAATATTTTTTAATATAAATTTTCTTAATTTAATATTAATATTTTTATTTAAATTAAATTTAATAAATTTAATATTTTTTAATATAATAATTAAAAATAGAAGGTTAGTATATTTTTAGTATGTGTTTTTTAGATTTAAAATTTTAAACATTTTTAAAATTAAACAAATTTGTGAAATTATTAGTTCAAGTTTTTAATAACAACCAACTATCCATACAAAAAATTATTTGCACGAAATTATGTTAGGCGCACACCACTAGATTTCGCTCCCGCCGAAGGCGGGTACGAAAGTTAGTATAATATAATCGTCTTCTTTACGTCAAGACGAATCGATTAGTATATATAAAGTATAGATTTGATAAAAATTTAAAGAATTAATGAAAGGTAAAAAATTCACATTTTAGCTAAAAAATGTTGTGTTTATTAAAACTCAAGTTTATATATGAAATCATTTTATTCCCTGCATTAAAACAAATCGATTGGTATATATAAAGTATAGATTTGATTTAAATTTTAAGAATTAATAAAAATTGAAAAATCAAAAATTCATATTTTTGATAAAAATTTTTGTGTTTTTTTAAATTCAAGTTAATACATAGAATATTGAATTTCTTGCATTAAAATGAATCGATTCGTATATATAAAGTATATGTTACACCCAATGTGATTTAAATTTTTTTTAATTTTTCAAGAAATTTAACCCCTGCATGTTTTTTTGTATTTGTAACACCAAAAATATTTCAAAAAAAAATTATGCAATTTTCCTACTTTCGTACTAATGGTTTTGACTCCCAGCATAATCTAATATAATGTGTGGAAAAATTTGACAAATTTACAACGTAATTTTGATGGTCTTAGTTTTAATTTGCATTTTTGAAACTTAAAAAATGTTTTAAGGGTCCTGAATTGTGTTAAAAAAGGTCCAAACAGGTTTTTCTGCAACTCAGCCGTTGATTATCACTTTTCGCCGCCGCGCTGGTGGGTTGTAGGAAAACATGCTCGAACATTTTTTAACATATTTCAGGAACTCCAAAACATTTTTTAAGTTTCAAAAAGACAAATTAAAACTAAGACCTTAAAGATTATGTTGTAAAATAGTCAAATTTTTCCATGCATTATTCTAGATTATGCCAAGAGTCAAAAACATTAGTACGAAAGTAGGAAAAATGCACAATTTTTTCTTGAAATCTTTTCAGTGTTATAAATACCAAAAAGAAGAAAAAAATGTTCTTGATACACATTTAGAAGCAGAATTTTATCAGCTCTTTAACCATCTAAGTTAGAAGTTTCTCACTGTTTTCGAACTTAAATTATCTTGCTTTAAATTCAGCACCAAATATCCACTCTTCGCACCTTCAGTCGTACCGACAATTTCCAACGGAATTGTATATATATTGTTTAATTTTCCTTACATTATAAATTTTATTTAAAAGATAGGTTAAAATAAAATATATTTTAATAAAACAGACATAATATTTTAGTCTGAAAAAACATACCTTTCAAAAGCAACAATGTTTTCTCTGCAACGCCAAGAGTTCGAAGCTTTTCTTTGTAATCAACATTTTCTTATATCGTGTCTTATTGTAGTAGAATCTAACCTTTTTTTAAACAAATACACATGTATTGGTGTGCAAACACTAAATCTACATTTAGTAAGCAAATAAATGTCACTGAAATAACAAATTAGTAAAATTTTGTTTTTCACGTTAGATTTCTGAATTTAATCGTTATAATATGTGAATGACAAATGCAATTGTTGAAAATTTCCTTTCCAAAATCAATTATTTATAGTTGAATCACTATACAAAGTTCTTTTTCTCACTTGTATCAACTTGTGAAATACAAAAAATGTCACAGTCCAAAACATTGAAGGAATTAATTTTATTAACAATTCGTAAGACTAATCTAACGCGCTAACACATGAAAATGTTAATATCAGAACTAAAAGGAAAGTGCATATAAAACCTAGTGAAAAGAAATCTATTTTCTTTTCGTTGCAGGTGTGTCTTCAATCAGCCAGCATGTTCTGTAACTTCTCTGTAAAAGATGGGTATGTGTTTTGCAACTACAGTTTTGAAACTTTTATAATAGTTTTGTAAGTCATAAATGTTTTATAATAATAATAATAATAATAATAATAATAATAATAATAATTTTTTACGAGGGAAGAGAAAAATCTGCATAACCCTGGAGGCCTACTTCCAAGTCAGATACCTGGAGGCCGTACTCTCAGGTTATGCCCACATAGCACAACTTTTTGCTGTGAGGTTACTATAAGGATATCTGTAGGGTTAGTCAGGTTACCTCGTAAGCTTGCAGTGAACTTAAGGTCATCTTAATAATTCTGCCTTACAGTAAGCTAACACAGTAGAGCTAACTTAAGCTTACACAGTAAGGTCGTGGTAACTTTTACATGGTAAGGTTATGGTAAGCTTACACGGTAAGGTTATTGTAAGCTTCCCCTAAGGTTACTGTAAGGTTGTTGTAAGGTTACTGTGAACATAAAGGAATATGAAAAGATATTAAAAATAATGATATTATAATATATATTATATTATACATTTCATTTACAAAAAATTATATATTTGGTAAAATACTTCATGAACCCAAATAGGTTTTGTTAAATAAAATTTATTGCGCAGCCGTATGTGCCATAGAAAACTACTGCGCATAAATATTAGTAAAATTTATTTATTAATAACATTCTATGTTTACAGTAACCTTACAGTAACCTTAAAGGAAGCTTAAAACAACCTTACCGTGAAAGCTTACCACAACCTTACAATGTAAACTTACTACGACCTTACTGTATAAGCTTACCTTAGCTTTACTGTGTAAGCTTACTGTAAGGCAGAAGTTTTAAGTTAACCTCAAGTTTACTGTAGGCTTACACGGTAACCTTACAAACCCTACAGATATTCTTACAGTAACCTCACAGCAAGAACCTGTGCTATGTGGGTGTGGTGACGACCACTTCCTATATAACACACATTTCGCGTATGCTTCTATCTCAACTCGGTAAAAATACTGGCCGAAACAACCATGACCCGACAACGCTACCTTTAGGCTCCCCATCGAAAGGTTTCCCATGCGTTCGGTGGCTTGGAGTGATGAGATGTTGATATATTGGCCAAAACTCAAACGTTTGTCTAACGTCACTTCCAGGTACTTCAGTTTTGTCCCCCATGGAACTACAGTTGAACGCGTTTCGTATGTCTATGGCTACGAGTGCGCAAAACCGCCTCTTCTTCCCTGATTTGACTTTACTTGCCTTCTCAACAACCGCTAAAATCGCGTGTACCGTTGACCGACCCTTACTAAAGCCAAACTTTTTTTTGGATAGGCTACTTTTGCCTACCAGAATTCTCTGTAGTCACTCCAGAATCATTCCCTCTAGAAGTTTAAATTAATTTTTTAGAAACGACTCTAAAAGCCAAACTCCATGAGTCATTTCCCGCTTCTCCGATTAGGTCCTTCCAACACTTTCTCTAGCTTTATGCCACTCTTTTTGCAGCAGGAGGTCTCCCTTAGAGTGGATATACTTCCTCCTTGCTTTATGGCATTCTCTTTTTAGCCGGGTTAATTCGTCGTTCCACCAGTACAGAGCTTTCCTAGTTTTTCTTTTCTACCTGCGAGGCATTGAGTTATTGCACACCGCGATAATAACTCGCCTCGCCTCACGCACTTTGTCTTCTAAGGTAATTGGCTTCGTCGTCTAACCGAGTTCCTGAATAAACTGAGACTCAGTTACAGACTCAGTCAATTTCTTCCTATTTAGTCTTCTGAGATTCCAGGAGGGCTTCTTGCTGTTATGTTGCAGTCTATTGTTCCCTCCCAGATTTTTCTCAGAGACTATAAACTGAATGTACTGGTGGTCGCTCATGGTTGTTTCGTCCAAAACGCTCCACTCTCTTATTCTACGAGCCACGCGGGGTGACGCAATTGTCAGATCGATGATCGCCCCTGCTACCCCGCGTCTGAAGGGATCATTTAGGGAGAAGTAGCAGTTGCGGATACGTACACCTGCCGCTTGATGTATCCTCAAACCAGAAAGAGAATCCCGGCTTCTTGTACTGCTGACTGAAAAGCAGCACGCCAGCTTCTCTTTCTCTCTGGTAACCTGCATCAAGAGATCATGCGCGACTCTTCCTTTCCCGAGGTTAACCTGGAGAAACCATAGCCCGGTCAGGGTGTTGATAATTTTTATGATTATAAAATGGTCAACATTTTAGTAAATATCTAATTTTTTCACACAAAAAATGACCATTTTTTAAAAAAATTCATAACTTTTTTATTTCTTAATATTAATTCTACTAATAAATTTTAATAGTGCACTACTACAAAAAAATAATTAGATACTTACACTACCGTCAGAATGTTTTTACTATTTCTTTTATTTCTCTGGCAAAAAATAATATTTTTAAACGTTCTTGGGCTTATTGGAATCGTATTTTGTTATATAATTAAAATTATTTAAAACAATTCATGTCCACATTCTTCCCTGGCGGATGCAAACCGTGAAAGTTGTCTGAAAAAAAATAAAAAAAGAGGTCAATTTTACAACAAAATTTAATGTTCAAAAATCAAGTAAATAGATAATCTTAAGCTCCTCTGATTTATGTAAGTAAATTTAAATTTTACATATTTTACTGATCATTTTTTGTCATTTAAATATTAATAATAATTTTTTGATTTTTTTAGCCATCTTTTACAGTTTGCATGCCCTAGGGAAGAATGTGGACATGAATTGTTTTAAATAATTTGAATTGTATAACAAAATACGATTCCAGTAAGCCCAAAAACGTTTAAAAATATTAATTTTTGACAGAGAAATAAAAAAATAGTAAAAATATTAAAAATTAAGTTTTTTTTAGATATCTTATTAAAAAATTAATATATTCTCTTTTTCAAGGTCTCATTTCTTTCAGAATTTTATTAGCCTTTATAAAATAAAAAGGAAAAAATTTTAGTTTTAATATTTTTGTAGATTTAAATCTCTTTATAGTCGTTGAAAAAGCAGATGTCGCACAATTTCCGACGGTAATCTATCTTAAAAATACATTTTTCTGAGAAATTCATGCAACAAGATGTAATAGACGATATCAATTTTTAGAGTATCTGGAAAATTCCTAGTAAAACTATGAAATTCCCGGTCACATTTTAAATTCCTGGTCATTTCCCGGTCATATCGCCATCCTGCGGGACTTTAGGTCCTGGAGCAGCTTCCATTAAATTGGACAAGCCCTGCTTCCTTGAAGGTGTTTCAGGTCCGTCATTCCACTTTCGGAACATGTAATGCATTTGGCTTTGCCTTTGTATTCCGTCTTCCGGTGCACAATTTTTAACTTCTTTGGAGTTCTTTTTGAGCATCCTGTCCCGCACTGTTTTCAGTGCTTGGACAGGTGCTCAACAACCTCGGACTGCTTCTCCAGAAATCCAAGGATGGCGCGACATCCTTCGAACTTTGTGGAAGCAGCCCGCAACTCCGAGTTCTCAATTTTTGTTATTATCAACGATGGTGACGGGCGGCTCTACGCTCTCCGTCCCCATATTTTCTTCTTCGCCTTTCCTCAGTCTCAAACTTGAGGCATTTAATGACTCATCGGCCAAGTCATCCACCGATGAGTCACTGCAGTGATAGGATCTCGACGCTCCAGGGCCTACTTTCGCATCCTGGGACAGGGCCGCCACTAGGGTTTCCGAATTCCCCTGTTGGGTAACTTTTTATTCTGAATTTAAACTTTCCATTTTTCATTTAAAAGTTGTATTTTTTATCGGGATTCCTTCCCCTAGCATGTAGGTGTGTGTCTTGTGTGTGTATATAGTGTCGTGTGAAACTTCCGCAATGTAGTGCCCCGCGAGGCAGGATGCGCGGAGGTCCGTGAGTGTACTGTAGTGATGTGTATAACTTACATGCGTGTGTAAGAGAAATGCAAAAAGTGTAAATGTTTGTGGAGTAACTTGTCGGCCGCAGAACGGAAACCTAGTGCTGAACCGGTCCAAAAGTCCTACAGTCCATTTTAGTGGAGTTGGATAACCAGATTCCCCATTCCGCAAGACCGATTTAACGGACATTCCTTCATAGGGTCGCTGGAACCTTCAGGCCACAGGGTTTTAAGCCCGTCCCCAGTGGACATTGCTCTCCGTTTGGGCACCGAGTGTCAAGACACAAGGTTTCCAACCCGCACAGCTAAGCTAATTTTACCCCTTTTCCTTTCTTTTCTTTAAAAATTCTTCGTGTGTACAAGTGGAGTCTCGGGCTTGGGACTGGTTCAAAGCGGAGTTAATAATAATAATAGTAATAATAATTCTGTTAGATAACTTTTCTGTCTTATTATAACAAGACTTCTCTCTTAAATTAAATCAGTGTTTTCCCTGACTGAATCAATATTACATATTTTCACTGTAAAATCAGTTATTACTTTTATTTTTACTGGTAAAATCAGTAAGCGACTTAAATTAGTTTACAATTGAAGTAAATCAGTAACTTAAATATTACAGGTACCACCAGTAGAATTTTTTAATGATTGAAACGATTCATGCTAAGTAACATATTAACGACGATTTGCGCATTCAAATATTTTCTTCCCATTATATCCAGCAAAAACTTTCTATAAATGCTCTATATCATTGAGGAGACAGTTTTATGAAACATTTGTTACAAGCCAGTTATGAATCTGTCACACAGAGTGATTTTTATGTGTCGGACCACATAAAAAATTTTGTATTCTGATTTTTTTGGTTTTTTAAACAAAAATAATGGATTTAAAAAATTTTAGGGAATCCGGAACATAAGAATCACCCTGTATAAAAAATACAATTTTGATACCATAAAACATAAAAGTCGAACTGATAATATTTGTTATGTCTTAAAAAAGCTTAATCTAATATCAGAAAAGAAAAAAAAACAACTGCTTGCATGTTTAATGGAGCGGTCACACCTCGCCTGCAGGAGCAGTTGCCAATGGCAACCGTGTAAGAGTAAGAGAGATAGAAGATTTTCCATCTCTCTTACTCTTACACGGTTGCCATTGGCAACTGCTCCTGCAG